CTTTTGAAAATGTTGAATTAAAAAAAAAGACTACAAAAAAGAAAGTGATTTTCTAACTCACGAAGTGGCTTCTGCTGCTGGTGTCCTGGCTCGAATCTGCCTAGTAGATTCGGCCTTTTGTGCAAAAGTTTTTTAAGAGCCCAAAAAAGCATAGAAGAGAGAGAGAAAAAGAGAGAAGATGGCAATGAAGTGACAGGCAGCAGAGGGAAAGCAGAACTGCTTAACTCATTCTTTGTGTCAATCTTTTTTTTTTCAATATATTTTTTATTATTTTTACATTTAAAACAATGCAGTACTGTGAGATCGGAGTGACTATACATTCACATTATATACAACTAGTCACAACTATTGACAATTAGCCTACTTAATACATTATCAATCCTTCTGTCCAATCACAGTTTATATACAGTTTGTTCCAGTCTTGTCACCTTGTCTTATACCAGTCATAAAATCTATTCCAGACTTCAAAATATTCTGATTCCCCTTTATTTTTAAGTTCAAGAGTGAGCCTATCTGATTCCACACAGGCCAACACTTTTCTGATTATATCTAGCTCTGGTGGTGTATTTTCTTTTTTCCAATATTGTGCATAGGTTATGCGCGCCGCAGTTAGCTGAAGCAGAAAATTTAAGGTGGATGGGAACTCTGAAATAAGAACTGTATAACTTGTGATGATTACATTCTGAAGGAGCAGCACATGACAAAGCTCAGGTCATTTCTTGTTTTAGCTTGTTAGCACACAAAGTTCACAAAAACAGAGAAAGGGGAAATGGAACATTGTGCTATCTTTTGTATTTGGAGCCATGTGTGATCCACTGCTCTTGTAAATTATAGGGTAACTTTTATACAGTGGAGTTGACACGTCCTCTGTCAAGGAACGCAAGTCCTTGCAAGTCCCCTTCCAACTTGGCTACTTGAAGTTGCATTAGTAAGTTGCTAAGTTCCCTAAGTTTTGATAGGCTCTGTTAGGTATTCTGGGAAACCTATCAAGTCTTTAGAACAGTGCATTCTCCACTGCTTCTGCTGAGCCATAGCACTCATCAAGTCTGTCCCAGATGGTTCTAAGGCCTGTTTCAGGGTAGTTTATATTTATTGCCCTGATTTGCTTTGCATGCTCAGCAGATTCACTTCCAAGCCATTTCATTATTAAATCCATCTCTCACTATACGACAGATCCAAGTCTCCGATGGCATTTTGGAAGGATGATCACCAAGCCCGATAGCTTTCTGGACAATTGTCGAACCTTTCAAGTCCTTGTGTGACTAGCTCACATCGTGCAAGGAACTTGGCAAGGTCTATGATGGTTGTAGCCGATTGTGCATTGCTGTAGTAAAAAGGTGTTGAGTAGTCATATCTTTTGGGAGTCTCCAGTTTCAGCTGGTCCTTTTTCGACTGCTCTGGCATGAAGGCTATGGGATCTTATGGAATAAATTGCCGGTCAAGTACCTTGGATGTGAGGAGTCTGCTATCACATGTGCAACTTTGCTTGAAGCTTTCTCCTTTGTAGGCTTGGGGCTTGTCATTAGCCTGTAGTGGTGCTGAGTAGCTTGTTTCTTTAAAAAGTTGTCTTCCCTATCGAGGTGGGAAGGAAGTACAAAGGCTGACATTGTGGTGTAAAGAAAATAATCTTATACTTCACACCAAAAAAACTAAAGAATTTACAATTAACTTCAGAAAGAAGAAAGATGTACATTTACCATTGCACATAAATGGCAAAGAGGTGGAGAGGGTTGGTAGTTTTAAATTTCTTATATCTCGGAGGACCTCTCATGGACCATGAATGCTAACATGCTTGTGAAGAAGGCACAGAAGAGGCTGTAGTTCCTGAGAATGCTAAGGAAGATAAATCTATCTCAGCATCTACTTCTGTCCTACCATCGCAGCACTATTGAGATATACGGCATTTTTGCATGGTATGGGAGCAGCTCTGCAGCGGATAAAAAAGCTCTACAGAGAATCATGAAAACTGGCCAGAATATCACTGGGCTCCAGCTGCCAGCCCTTGATAACATCTTCGCATCTCGCTGCTTGAGGAAGTTGTATAACATTCTCAGAGACTTTTCCCATCCTGCTTACAATCTTTTTAGACTGTTGCCTTTCTTACAGAAGATACAGAACAATTAAAACTAGGACCACACATCTTCTGAATAGCTCCAAGGTATGGTGAAACTGAGGATAGGGATACATACAATGAGACTCAAATATAAGAAAGATAGCATTAAGTTGCTACTGAACATAAAAATGTTCTGTGTGGGGGATGTTGGTTTGTTTTTGGATGACTTTGTGCCACAGATTAAAATGGCTGCTTCTGCCTTCTCCAAATGCTGAAGGAAATGGATTCTGGATTCCCAGCGTGCACTTGGTTTGAGTGCGGGCTGATGGGTAAATGGGCGGAGTCAGCTTTAGACAATGTAGTTAGGGCATATTTGTCTCTGGCCACTAGGAAACTTATAATAAACTTATAGAAACTTGTACTAAAGTTACAAGTTTTGGCATGACAAGTATGGTTCCTTTTTTTCTCTATCTGAATCAGAAGTAAAAGTTTAGAGTTTAGAAGTAAAAGCTGATAAATAGAGTATATTTCAGTTCTAAAAAGATGTTTAAATTTTAATGCCTAAAGTGAGTTTGCTGGTCAGGTTACAAAACTCATTTTAAATGTTTAATTTATTTGATAACAGTTATGGGTCAGTACAAAATAAATAGAAAATTAAAACATATAATTCCCAATAATGACTAGTGACGAGTACAGTAGTATAGAAATCTGTGAAACTATGTATGTCTAATAAAAAAAGCCATAATTACCAACAAACAATTGCCTTGTTTTGTTGAAAAAAAGATAACTAAAATCTGCCAACTGTTAATTTATACTGAAAGGTAAAAACAGTAGTTTTATTTTTAATTAGCACATACAGGTTTCACAGCAACATTCTATAAAAGTCGTATGCTGAATATTCAACTTATATAATAACTCTACTAGAAAATATAATTCTGCTATCAAATTGGTTTATGAATATTTAAAAAAATATTTAACTTGGCTTGCTTGCTTTCAGAATTGGCAAAGGTTTCCAAGGAGTCATGAAAAGATGGGGATTTTCTGGCCAGCCTGCTTCCCATGGCCAAACTAAAACACATAGACGACCTGGATCAATTTCTAATTCTGCAAGTATTCTTATTATCTATATTATGTTGATCAGTTCAAAGAAGATACAAATTTTAAAGCATATACTGAATTGAGACATCTTGGTAATATCAAAATCTTCATAAGCTAAATTCTGCCCCCCTACAAATTGATAGTGATACAGATTCTGAGTAAATTTTATCACATTTCTTGAAAACTGTATAAATTGCCATGCGGAAACCTCTCTATGTGCCTAATTATCTGTTAGTATAAGTTAGTCCTTGACGTAATGACCACAGTGGAGCCCCAAATTTTGTTCATAAATTATGGTAGTCATTAAACAAAGGGCCTTGCAACTACCTTGCTCAACAACTGCAATCCAAGCTCTCCCCATTGTATGACATCACCCACTGATACACAGTAACCTGCTGTAGGTTGGGAGGCATCACCAAGCTATACCGACTAGCTTCACAAACCCTTTCTGCACCATAGCAGATCTATTTACTTTAAAAAGCAACTCATTCCATTTTCCACGTGGACACATTCCCATGATAGTTTGGAAGGTTGAAAACCTTTAGTGGTTTCTTCCCCCAGAATCCACCTCTTTTGCTAGAATTCTTCTTTTTGGAGGAGAAAATGCTAGGGAAGCCAGCATTCTGAAAGGCTCTGCACTAGCTTCACCAGTGGTTTCTCCAAATTTGAGGTTTGTTCCTCAAGCACATGGGAGGATTTCCCCTCCCTGCAAAAAGGGGAGGGAAAATCCCTTGATACACAATGGAACAAATGTCATTGTGTAAAATCCTTCAATAACCAAGAAAGAAAACTCCCAACTCCATTTGCGCAGAAATAAAAGTACTTTTACTTGTTATGAAAAGAAAGCAGCGAAAGAAAAGCAAAATCTGAGCCAAAAAGGTGCAAACATACATATCAAATGTTTACCCAGCACCCTCCCCCAATTACCCCAACCCAATGTCCAATCTGCAACTCCCAAAGGTGTCATGTGGGGTGCATCTTCAAGTGGCCTCATTCAGCTGGTATATATAGACGGCCTACCCTGACCAAGCCCAAACACGAGCCATCAGCATGCGCAGAAGATGGTGAGAACAAAACTCCCTTCTTGATAACTCCTCCAGCACCAGTAATTCCCCCTCCCAAATACCTCAAACCCCCACCCTCCACGTTTCTATGGCAGCCGATAACAAGCAAGCAAAGTAGAGGCTGACACAAATCCTCATCTCTTGTGTTTGAAATTTTCACTGCCAATTTCCACAGAAACCAGTAAAGAATATAGCAAATACCAATCATATGATCACAGGGCCCTTGGCAATCAGTCATAAACACAAAGGTTGCCAAGCTCTCTGGTTCATAACTGTTGTTTTTGGAAGCTATGGTTAATTTGAACTGTTGTGAGGCAAAGGCTCATAAGTCAAGGATATTAACAGGGAAGAATGCAATCATACTAGTCATTTAATGGGCTCCATTCTTCCATGGTACTCCTATGCAGGATAATAAAACCAAGTTTTGTCTAACTTTACTTTGATTTTTGAGACAGGGTGTTTCAAAGGTCTTCAAGGGAAAGAAAATGCCAGGACAATTAGGAAACTTCTATCGGACAACTAGGGGACTAAAGGTAAGGCTGCTGAAGAATATATCATCTGATATGATAAATTAACTTCTTAGTGCACAATGATTTCTGTGTAATAGTAAAGTTTACATATTTCTCTCAAGAAATTCAAAATAAGTAATTGAAGAAGCCACTGTCATTTCCACCTGACTTGAAAAATAAAGCCTTGGTTCTCATACGATGAAAACATTACACTTCTTCAAAGCTAGAGAATGACCTTCTTAATCCTCTTTTTGCCAATGTGGCTGTTAATGGAGTCCAGAAATAAAGACAAAAGAGTTTCTCACGTGGCTACCTTGTCCAAGCATAGTTTATACTATTAAAGATTATCCACCACTGGGCTGTTGAACAAATTGAGTGGTATATAGATGTATGTATAAATTCAATAATCCCTGATCATATTTCTAAGTGATCAGAAACTGACACAAGCTTTCTATGGCACAAAGATAATCATGAAATCTATAAATTTGAATGCAGAAAGTCTCTGAGTTGCTGAAGAATGCTTAGATAGGCTGTTATTTAGTGTTGCAAACTACTTATTAGAATTAGAAATAGAATTCTTTATTGGCCAAGTGTGATTAGACACAAGGAATTTGTCTCCGGTGCATAGGCTCACAGTGTACATACAATAGTGATATATCATTATCATAGTCATTGTAAAAAAATATTCATAATAAAACATTCGATACAACAGCGATAGTCATGGATACTAAATAAGCAATCAACATAAATCATACTAGGATATTAAATAAACAATATAAATTGTAAGATACAAGCAACAAAGTTATAGCCATAAGAAGATAAGGAGATAGGTAATAGTGAAGATAAGAATAGTGATGGTAATATTGCCTTTCTAGATAGTTTTACAGTGTTGTGATAATTAATTGTCTAGCAGAGTGATGGCATGGGGGGGGGGGGGAAGGACTGTCTTGTGTCTAGTTGTTCTAACATGCAGTGCCTTATAGCATCATTTTGTGTATAGAAGTTAAAACAGTTTTATGCCCAGGATGTGAGGGGTCTGTAGATATTTTCACAGCCCTCTTCCTGGTTTGTGCAGTATACAGGTCCTTAATGGAAGGCAGATTGGGAACAATTGTTTTTTCTGGAGTTCTAATTATCCATTGAAGTCTGTGTTTGTCTTGCTTGGTTGCAGTGCCAAACCAGACTGATGCAGATGACAGACATATTTAAGGGAATACAAACTTTTGTCCCTGCCATATTTACAGATGTCTCATAAACAACAACTATATAACCATTTTTACTTCTATTGAAAGAGATTACATAGCTGTCTTTTTCTTAAATTTCTGTTCTTCTAAGAGAATTCCTCATAAAACATGTCTTTTTCACTTAAAAAATAAAGTTAGCTATAAATTAATAATAACAAGTATTAATTCTTACTGGGTGATTTTAATCTTACAGATATGGCAGGTCAATGTGAAGCACAATATTTTATATGTACATGGAAGTGTTCCTGGTCATAGGAATTGCTTAGTAAAGGTAAGTTTGGTATTTAGATATGAACAGAGAATGGCTTACAAAATACTTAATTTTCTTATCAGAGTTACATAAGATCCTCTGTCACAAAGATCTCTGCTTATTTTCTAGTGTTATGTTAGAAAAAGCTAAATATTACTACTCTTACCAATCAAGTAAAGCCTTTGAAGATACCTTTGTTTATTCCATGTGTTATAATTATATGCACATACAGAAACCATTATTATATCTTTACTTAAAAGCTACAGAGTCCAAATATATATAAAGCAGTTTGAAATGTATGAAAGCCATACAAATAAGGTTTCATTTCCCTTTTAACAATTTAAGAGTCTTGCTGTCTAACTCTTTAAAGAAAAATGTCAAAGTTTCTTGTTTGCATATGTTATACAAGCGAAGACTGAAGTTCTGAGTTTTTGTTAGCTGTCTGAAAGAGAAATCAAAGGTGAAACATTGAATAGCATGTACCAGTGCACTGCTTGTTCAAAGCAAGCCAAAATTCTTTCCAGTACTAGATTCCCTTTATTTGCAAAAAAAATGTAATAAGACATTACAGTGTTCAATTCAGTAATAAAACATAAATACTCCACCCCAAATTAAAAGTTATTCAGATCCTTAGTAGCTGTACGAGCAAATGTCATACTGTCACAGCCTTATATAGAGAATATGATAGTATCAACTACTTATGATATCATATATAGAATAGAATAAAGCAGGAAGGGACCTTGGAGGTCTTCTACTCCATCCCTCTGCCCAAGCAGGTGACCCTTTATTATTTTAGACAAGCAGCTGTCCAGTTTCTTCTTATAAACCTCCAGTGATGAAGCACTCAAAAATTCTGAAGGCATGCTGTTACACTGTTCTTACTTAAGGAAGTTTTTCTTGATTTCTGAGTTGGTTCTATTCTTGATTAGTTTCGAACCATTGTTGTCCTACCCTCTGGTGCTTTGGAGAATAATTTTACCCCCTCTTTTTTGTGGTAGCCCCTCAAATATTGGAATACTGCTACCATGTGATCGCTAGTTCTTCTTTTTTCAAGACTAGCCAAACCCAAATCCTGCAGCCGTTCTTTATATGTTTTAGTCTCCAGGCCTTTGGTCATCTTAGTTGCTCTTCTCTGAACTTTTTCCAAAGTCTAAACATCTTTTCTGTAGCGTGCTGACCACAATTGATTGCAATATTCCTGGTGTGGTCTTACTAAGATTTTACAAAATGGTACTAATAAATACTAAAAATGATTTTGATTTTATGCCTCTGTTTATACAACCCAGGATTGTATTAGTTTTTTTGGCTGCTATTGCACATTGCTGGGTCATATTCAAGTGATCATCCACTAGGACTCCAAAGTCCCTCTCACAGTTACTGTTTTTGAGCCAGGTCTCGTCTACTCTACACATTCCTTTGGTTTTTCCTGCCTAAATGTAAAACTTTGCTTTTTTTCCACTTTAAAATTCATTTTGTTGGATAGGGTCCATTGTTCAAGTCTGTCAAGAACTTTTTGGATCCTGAGCTTGCCTTCTAGGATGTTGGCTATTCCTGCCAGCTTAGTGTTATCTGCAAATTTGATGAGTTCCCCTTCTATTCCCTCATCTAAGTCATTTCTGAGGTTATTGAAGAGTTCTGAATCTAAGGTGGAACATTATGGTACCCCACTGCTTCCTTCCTTCCATGTCTATGTAATATCATTAAGGACTACTTTTTGCATACAGTTTGTCAGCCAGCTAAGAATCTATTTGATGGTGATGTTGTCTATTCCACATTTTTCTAGCTTACCAAGAAGTAGGTTGTTGTCTACTTTGACAAATGCCTTACTGAAATTTTAAGTATACTATGCCCACAGCATTTCACTGGTCTATTAATTTAATCACTTTATCAAAGAAAGAAATAAGATTGGTTTGCCATGATCAGTTTATAACAAACCCATGCTGGCTACTAGTTATATATGTTTCTAAATAGTTGTAGATCAGTTTTTTGATGATATTTTCAAGGATCTTCCCAGGTATTGATTGTTAGCTGATTTGTCTGTAGTTTCCTGGGTTTGTTCCCCCCCCCCCTTTCTTGGAGATGGGAACCACATCAACCTTTTTTCAATCCTCAGGTACTTCCCTGACACTCCAGGATTTTTGCCATCTTCAGGCTGGTGTTCTCGGCTTAAAGTGTGGTCAGAGAAACACCCCCACAACATGAATAAATGTGACGATACCTCTCGCCTACCAGACATCTGGAAACTAGCCCTAGTCAAAAAACGAACCCCACCAACCACTCAGGTCATTACAACACAAAAGTATACACTAGCCTGAAGATGTCGAGTGAGACCTCGCCGAAACGTTGCCAAGACAATATCAATCTTACACGGGAAAAGACCTGAATACAAGACCAGCATACCTACACCTGTGAAAATCTACACACACACACACACACACACACACACACACACACACACACACACACACACACGATATATATATCTTTTACAGCTTTCCATTATCATTTTTTCTGATTTCGGCTTTTCCATTCTATTATTTTATACATATTTTTCTTGGTTTACTTCCTCATTTTTACAATATATACATCTGTATACAATATTTCCATCTTTACTGCTTTCTAAATATATGTCATCGCTTTTCATTGTGTTTGCTATGTGTTCCTTATGTATTGATTTTATCTCTCTTTTCAAACCAGTTATACCACTTATTCCATATTTTGTACTATTCTGTTTCCTCTCTTATCTTTTAGTTCCATCGGTTGCCCATTTGTGAGCATTCTAACACCTTTTTATGATTTCTGCATTTGATGGAATGGTTTTTAGTTTCCAACTGGGCATATGAAATTCTGGCAGCAGTGATTATATGGAGTATTAAATATTGGATATCATTACTAATATTTTTATTATTATTCCTAGAAGAAGCAGCTCAGGGTTCATGTCAATTTTTCGTTCTATTATTTCTTCTAACCATTTTTTAATTTTGGTCCAGAATTCTTTGGCTTTTGGACATGTCCACCACATGTAATAGAAGGTTTCCTATTGGTGGTTACATTTCCAGCAGTTTGGAGATCTATTTGGAAACATTTTGGCCAATCATGCCGGGGGTAAATGCAACATTGTCAATTTATAATTTTTTTCCCAGTGCTCCAATTCAATATTATACCCAAAGTTTTTAGCCCAGGTTATCATTGTTTCCTTCACGGTTTCCTCCTCTATTTTGAATTTTAACAGACAACTGTATGCTTTTGTAATCATTTTTTCTTCTGTTCCTATTACTATTTTGTCCAATTTTTGTTGTTCGTTTTGAAATCCATACTGTTCTAAGTCCTTTTTGTAGTTTGTTTGAATTTGTAGGTGCGGCCACACCTAATTCAATTCCTTGCAATTTTAACTCCTGATTTGTTTTTTAAGTTTTTCTTGCCCATCCAATAACTCATATGTCAATATCCTATTCAAATCTATTAGATTGGGTTAGATAATTGCTTCCATGGTTGATATCCATCTGGAAATTTGTGTAGAAGTTTATTTTGATTTTCATCCATATTTCTAGTAAGGCCCCTCTTAGCTGATGCCTCTCAGTCATCAATATTCTTTTATTTTAAAGTACTATCCATTCTTCGAGCCATGTTACCGCTGCTGCCTGATAGTAAAGCTTCCAATCTGGGAGGCCAAATACTCCTTAATTCTAGAGTCCTGTAATTTTAATTTTATCCTAGCTTTTTTCCCCAGCCAAATAAAATTTAAAATTATTTTATTTAGTTCCACAAAAAAAATTTTTTACTGGTACAGTTTAGAATAGAAATAAATTTTTTGGTAGGATATTCATTTTTATGGTTGCAATTCTTTCAATAAGCGATAATTGTAATTTAGCCCAATTTTCCAAGTCTTTTTTTATTGTTGTAATAATTTTGAATTTGTCTTTTTTATGGTAGAACATTTAGCTGTTAGCCAGATTCCAAGATATTTTACCTTTTTAACTATTTGCATTTCCAATACTCTCTCTAATTGCTCATTTTGCCTTTGTGTAAGATTTTTAATCATTATCTTTGTTTTATTTTTATTTATTTTTAAGCCTGCAACTTTACCAAATTCCTCTACTTCTTTTTTTATTTAATAATTTTTTTTTTAGAATAAACACAACATCCTTCTTTACATGCTGTAGAAAGTGTATCGGTTGGTTACAAAAAGACTTTCGTGCATCTCTTCCACAGTCAACAAACATATGTATCTCATCTCATATGTATTTGATAATTTCTGTATTTCTGAAAATATCTTTTGCAAGCTTAAGGTTTTTTTTTATATCCAACTAGAGAGCCGAGGTGGCGCAGTGGTTAGGGTGCAGTACTGCAGGCCACTTCAGCTGACTGTTATCTGCAGTTCAGCGGTTCTAATCTCACCGGC